GCTGGGAGCACATAGGGGCTAAACGGTTTGCTTAAGGGCACATTGATGGTCATTCTAATGGGGAATAGTAATTATTTTTCTTCTTTTGCTCTATTTTTCAATCTTTTCAAACAACCTCTTTGCCAGTAATCGCATAGTTGGAAGACATGAAATGGAAAAGGAGAATGTTAGTATAATAATACAATAACTATAATAATATATTATAATCATGACGTGAGTTATCGGCTTTACATTGCTCTTTACTTTTGGTGTAGGCCAGGGGTGCCCAACCAGTCGATCGCGATCGACCGGTCGATCGCGGGGAGATTCCCAGTCGATCGCGAGATGTGTCTAAAAATAGAACAACAATATTCTGTTTTATCGTTAATGTCCTGTAACATAATCTTCCTGTGCCAGAATAATGCACTTGAACGCATCAAAGATTTGTGATTGGCCGGCGTGACCCCATGTGTCGGGGCGTGGCAGTGGGCACTATTACGCTGACGTTGTCCGTGTCAACAAGAGTGACAGTCCGCACTCCGCACACACACAAAACCGAAATTATGGCAGAAGCAAAAAAGCCCAAAATATATAATTTTCACTCCGAGTGGGAGGATGATTACTTTTGTATCTATTCCAATTCAAAGTCCATCTGTCTCATCTGCAATGCGAGCGTGGCTTTATCGAAGAAGGGTAATTTAGGAGCGGCATTTCAAAACAGTGCACAAACGATACGAGACGGAATTCCCTCCTAATTCTGCCCTACGCTCCCAAAAGGGGAGGGGCCTGAAAGGACAGCTAAATGCACAGCAGTCCATTTTCACCAGGCCCAACAACAAGAGCAAGGCTGCTACCAGAGCATCTTATCGTGTCAGTCACGTTCTGGAGAAACACATGAAGTCTTTCAAAGACGGCGAAGTTGTGAAAGAAGGGGGGGGGGGGGGGGGGTGCGCGGAAAAAAAAAAAAGTTTTAACAACATTATTTATTGACTTTTCATTCCGGTATAATCATTTTGCGCAAATATGGCACTGTTTGTCAGAGCACTTCATCCTTCTGGGATTTCATGAAGAACAGCTCCAACGCCTGTGTGTATGGGAATGCCTCTGGTGCTGGTCCATTAACTGCCAGTGTTTCCCACAGATCTGAAATATACTTTGGGGGGTGGTGGTAGCGGGGGGGGTTGAGGTGACGTGCAACAACATTAACCTTTCTGTTGGTCGCTTGTTAGCAGACCCTTCACGCGATGGCAGAGCGAACAGGTACAGGTACAGGCAGGGTCCATAATGATAGCCCTATAGTTTAAATCTACTACCCACACATGAACATATGGAAATAGATTACTATTTTAAAAAATAAATGTATTTATTAATGTATTTAGGAACCTATCCATGTGATTTTTAGTGGGGGTCGACCTCAAATCCTCTAGGGGGGTCCAGGGGCATGCCCCCCCGGTAAGATTTTATTTTTTATTTTGGAGTTAAATGCATCAATCTGGTGCATTTTGAGGGGAAAATAAAGAGACTAGATCTATGGAAACACCTATATTTAACAGAACTGTATACATTTCAATAATCATAAAATCAAGGCCATAACCAATAACATACCATTTCCAATATGAAAAAAACACTGAAACTTGTTTATTAATTTAGTTTTGGTTCATTTATAGTTGTGAGTGTGTCTGTGCTCCTGAATCAGCCTCTCCTGTCTCCCTCCTCTCCCCCCTCTCCATCCTCTCCCCCTGCTCCTCTTTGAGGCAGCAGCAAAGACTAGTTTTCTCTCAACAAGTTTTAAAAGTGTATCTTACCTTTTTTCACCTAGTTAACTTTTTATTTATTTATTCATGCATATTTTACTAATCACATTACATTTCATTTAGCTGACGCTTTTATCCAAAGCGACTTATAATGACCGATTACAGGGACATTCTCCCTGGAGTAACTAAGGGCTAAGTGCCTTACTCAAGGGCACACTAGTGGTGGTGTTCCTGGCGGGATTTGAACTCACAGCCTTCCGATCTTCAGCCCACCTCACTATCCATTAGACCACCACTACCCTCTCAAATGGAAATATGTGTTTACATAAATGGTGACCACACCGTTTGAGACCCACTGAGAACTTAGACTAAGTTAACTATCTAAACACTCAGAGAGTCCTTTACCTCACCTGAGCTGAGGTTATCCCGAGCTTGAATTACACACAGAGACCAATCAAGGGCTTTGATTTATGATCTGTATGACAGTGGCCATGTCGGCAGGCCACATCATGTGGACAGCCAGTCACCCTGTGTGAGGCAGGCCACTTAACAGGCCAGAAGGAGGCGAGATCAGAGCAAGGGAGCGAGGGATCATTGTCTACAAGTTAATCGATCGCAGATGGCGTCGTGGTCACGGACGAATAAAAAAAATATATATTAAAAAAAAAAATTATAAAAAAAAAAAAAAAACTAAATGGGTCGCGAAATATACTTGGGCGGCCGTTAATATACCTGGGCGGCCCGCCCAAGTATAGTCTATGTGTGGGAAACCCTGAATGTAATGGTGAGAAGGAAGATTTCCAATATATATAAGTCCCAACATATATTTAAAAAAAAAGCATCTGATGAAAGTTGTGATGACTGACAGAGACATATAAAACAGCATTAGGAGGGAATAAGCTATAATTTACATTGTGATTGTTTCAACCAAAACACTATTATTACAAACTGTAAACAATAATATAAACACAATCTGAGCTAAAGTTGTGTAGAAGCTGAATCTGCACATTCAGGAGACAAGTCTATTGTTGGTTGAGTCAGTATAAGAGTGAATCACAGTAGTTGTTGGAAGATGATTTAAAGGCATGTCCAGGGGGCGGATACAGTATCCTGTACAACGCAATTTAATACAACACCCCCACAAACCGCAGCTTAGCGATTACCAAAGCCTCGAGTCAGCAGCCATCTGACACGCAAATGGGATGTTATAAGCTTCACAAACGTTTATTCCAGAGCTTTTGTATGAAATTATATTGCACAGGTGTTCCTTTTATAGTTTCCAGCCAGTGTGTGTTATTAAAACACACACAAATAAAAACCTGTCATTAGTCAAATATCACGATCTGAGATGTTGATATTGTGAAAAGATGAAAAGATGCATGTGTGGTACAGCTTTGACTTACTTATTATACTGAAGGAAAACTGGTTGGCAGCCAGACATTAAACTACTAATTGAGTGAGTGAACAGATACAGATAAAGAAAAGAATAAGCAATATTAGTTAAAAGTGTCATTAACTGACGCATTTTTTTTAAAACCTTGTTTTTATGTCATTCTTAATTCCTCTATAAAAACAAAAAATGCATGAAAGAGGATATTTTACGTTGCAGAAAAAGAAACCACTATATCAGCCTTCTCTATAAAAGTAAAAGAATAAAATACTTTTCAATATTTCCAGGAGAGGAACAAGTTCACAGATCCTTTACTTAATACTCCAATAAAATGTAAGATCCTGAATTAAAAATAAAACTAATTAAAAGTATTACCAGCAAAACGAACTTTAAGTAAGAAAGTAAATACTCATTATGCAGAATGGCTATTTGAACATTGTTGTAATATTTTAGAATATGGTTGTATTGTACATATGTAGGAACATTTGTAGTTTGCATGCATAGTACAACTCAAGTATAGTGCTGGATTAAATGTCATTTTCAAGAATCATCAAAACATTTAAGATGACGTAACTTTGGAAAGAAGAGATGACCGCATTCCTTTTTGCAATCATTCCATAAATGGCCGCTTTAAATGCTTATACAGAATTGGAGGTCAAATTGTTATTTTTTGTCCACTAAATAAACCGTTTAAACGTAACTGTTTTGTTTCTCAAAACCGCTTTAGTTCCTGCATTTCGTAATGTCTCCAAAAGGACAGCCAGCTGCACTTTTCAGTGAGCGAGTAACTGCTGCCGTTGAAGGATGTATTTAAAAACAGTTAAATATAACTTTTGTTGATAAGGATGAGTTGGATAGTTTGAGTGGCGATAGCTCAGCACAAACTACAAATCAGTGCAAAAGAAGAAGTGTTACAGGATGGTTATCTTGGACGGTTGTAATCTCAGTGAAATACGGACATTTTTCTACAAGGTCTACCAGTAATGGAAGTCAATCAGACATTTGCTACATTCAAGTCCAGAACTAAAATCTTTACCCGTATATCACACACATGTATTTGTTTCCAAATAATGAAGTTTGAGGATCATCTTCCCTTTGTTCTTCGCTCTCCTCTTTATTGTCTACAGTTGTGGAGTAAGCAACAGTCATTAACATGCTTCTGACTGTAGAGTCACAAGAGAAGAGAAAAGGAGATTCCAGTGTTTTTTATTAAACTTCCCCTGGATTAAGGTCTTTATGGTTAAATCTCTTTCCCAGGAAGACAGGAACATAATAATATATGGGGAGGAATTAATGATAAATGCTCCGAATTAGATCCCAGGAAAAGATCTGAAGAGTGTTTTATAGCACAGGAAGACAACATGAAAGAGGGCAAACCAACAACATTATTGCTTTGTTTAAAAGATTTCAAACAGCTTGTCCTGCATACTGTAGGATCACTTGTCTGCTTTTGATGTCAAGTTAATTATTACATTTTAGTGAGCATTTTATTAGTCTTTGATGCCACAAGCATCAATAATTCTAACCTAAAACTGAATTTGACTGGACTTTTTAGATGTTTTGTTGCAACAGATCATAAAACTGATATATATATATATATATATATAAATAATACAGTTGCAACAAAACATCTAAAAAGTCCAGTCAAATTCAGTTTTAGGTTAGATATATATATATATATAATTTTGCTTCTTTAACATTAGATATGAATAAATATAGCATATATCATTGTTTTTGTGCAGTAAGTGTTGCTGAAAACTTTTACAATTCAACCAAAGATAAAGTCCTTACATCCTGTTAACATAGCTTGAAAGCAAAGTATTATTATTACAGTATAACTGAAATTGAGCATCTCTCTGTGTATTGTGTTTCTGCAGGAGGAATACAGGGCAGAGGGCATCAGCTGGCACAACATTGACTACATCGACAACACAGGCTGCATCAACCTGATCAGCAAGAAGCCCACAGCGCTGTTCCACCTCCTGGACGAAGAGTGCAAGTGAGTCTTCATGCTGGCTGCTTTCCTGTTGGACCGCTTTGTTTCTTTGGAAGCTCTTTTTAATGTTCCTCTGAGTCAAACCATCAAACGTTTCTGGCAGCAAACTTGGCGGGCTTCGTGAATCGTGACAGTTGATTGGTTTGATATATTCAAAATACATAACAAAACAACAACTACAATTTTGAGGCCTAAAACGTTTTCGCACATGTAAAGAAAGCTGCAGCTAGGTAGTTCTTCCTCTCCGCATATCACTTTTTAAAATGTCTAATGTGGATGAGTAGATTGTAGTGTCACACACGCAGAAAATGGTCAACTAATCTCTTCTCTTCGGCTGCTTTTTCCTCTTCTTTCAGCACATTGTTTTGGCGCTTTGAGCACCAGGAAAAGCGCTATATAAATAATATGTATTATTAATATTATTATAATGGCACATCACCATGTGGCAGACAGACTAAACGGCTAGCAAAAAATATGAATATTAAGCATCTACAGACCAACATAGAGATAAGCAAACACTTGAAATGCTCTACGTCCGCTTGGCTTTTGACTTATTAGCTAACATGTTAGTCAGGCTTGTTTCAGAATTCCTATTTAGTGGCCTAAATACTAAGTCTTTAACTGGTGGCATTATTAACTTATTAGCGTAATAGCTTACCGGTATATGGAGTAGCTATGGGTCATTTCCATGCATTGCTTATCCAGGCCAAATAATTGCAATTAACAAGGAAATCCTGATTATCAACTCTGGCACTTAAATGGTAAACATACTGGAATCCATTTACTTTACTTTTTTGCCAAATACAAAATATGGACATACAAACCAATCTAGACTTATTTCCACCCTGATGCAGGCGAGTGACAAATCAGCTTGACCCCTTGCTCATGCTCAAAGTGTGTGTAGAAAAACTATTCTGCACATTATTGAAACATTCACAAAATAAATACATTATCATAATGTTAAAGGAATGTTTGCTAAATCTAATCTACTGATGGAGTAGCCTAAAACGTAAAGCCTCTAAACAGTACATTTATTCTTGTCAGCTCCTTGGCTTTAATGTGACTATTCTTACAAACAATAAGTCCTTCTGTATTCCCCCCTCTTTTTTATTTGGACACTGAATCAAATTCCTCCCACTTGGAAAAGCTGGAAGGAGTCTTTGGCTGTGTTGTCTTCATAGCTCAGGTTTCACCCCGCTCCAAAAAACCCTGGTGTCTCCTTCTTTCCCGCTCCTCTTCCTGTAAGCTGCTGATTTTCTGGAGAATCGCTGGCTCTCTATATTAAAGGATGAAAGGGAAATCTGAACCAAGATCAGTTTAGAGTGATAATCCTCACCCTGTGGCGTCACAGGATAAAATGTCAAAACTGGTTACGGATCAGATGACTTGCCACGTTTCAAGGGTCCACAATAAATGAGGAACATTTACAGTGATTTATACTGAAGCATTCATGACGTACTGTAGTTAAGAGCTTTAAAGCAGGTGCATCAACATTGTGATTTCCCCAGCAAGTCCTTTCTGGATATGCTTTCATATTTTAAAAAAATAAAATAAAAAAATAAAAAGATGTAAAAACATAGTGTACTTCAAATTAAACACTCCTGTTCTTTGATTTCAGTTTCCCTCAGGCCACCAACCAGACCCTGTTGGATAAGTTCAAGCGGCAGCATGAGGGGAACAGCTACATCGAGTTCCCTGCTGTCATGGAGCCCGCCTTCATTATCCGACATTATGCCGGCAAGGTCAAGTACGGGGTCAAGGTCAGTGTCACCCACACTTCCTAATAGAGTCATTGATTAGACAGGAAGAAATTGGAAAGCGCCGCCAAAACTTTTTCTCAAACACATCGTCATTATTATTTAAAAAACTGATCATTTGTTTCCTTTTGTTTTTCACACCATTTTAATATTATTGATATGCGTAACAGACTATAATAGCGCGACCCAGATTGTATTCAGTCTGCTTGCTTTCATAAGGAAAGCTATTTTTCTAGGCTTACCTGACTGTTTTTCAGCTCTATTGAAGTACTGGTCAAACACATACATATCCTTCTCTGTACGTATGTGGATTAATACAAATTAGATATCCAAAGACTTTATATATACATAGTTACAGTTATGCTTAGGGTTTTTGTGTACAGATACCAATCAGTATTAGAGAATCAAAGAGTTCTTACATTTATAAGTTTTAAATCAGAGAAAATGACATTATATATCTGAATTTATGATGCTTTTCGAATATTGAATAGCCAGATGAATTATTGGATCATCTTTCAATTTAACCATTTGTCCAGTCAAAGGTTATAGCCAAATATCACCAATAACACATTTGTTTCGGGGGGCGTGAGCAACTGCTATGGCTGAAGCTAATGTAGATCCACAAAACTAGACCAATAATACAGTTCTTTTTTTTTCCTCTGCCACACACAGGATTTCAGGGAGAAGAACACAGACCACATGCGTCCAGACATCGTGGCTTTACTGAAGAGCAGCAAGAACGCCTTCATCTGCGGGCTGATGGGCATCGAACCCTCAGCCACTTTCCGCTGGGCGGTACTCCGAGCCTACTTCAGGGCCCTGGTGGCTTTCAGAGAGGCCGGGAAGAGACACACGCAGAGAAAGCCTGGTGAGCTCCCTGACTTAGCAAAACTCCACTTATATGCACATTAAAGCGGCGAGGCAGCATTCCCTCCATAAATGAGATATTAAATCTCATCTGAGCTTCAAACGTCAAAGAAATGTTGTATATCTATCTATCTATCTGTCATCAACAAATGTCTTTAAACATTTTTTTTTTGCATCTTTCAGCAATCTTTATTAGAATAAATGATGAAAATATATGCTCACTTTGTCAAAGCAGCACTAAAGAATCGACGAAAAGGGAAACGACATTGACTTTAGTGAATGGCATATGGGCATCTATGACTTTCTAGTACAACAAGAACAACGGTGAACTATCAAACTACTAAAAGAGAATAATGGTTATAGGATTATTTACCATCTCTTGCTACAAGCACATTTGATCCAATCAACAGCATGAAATGACAGTACTGATTATGTTTTAGTTTTCAGAAGCACAGTACTCTCTACTCACATGCCATGCAGACTTGGTTTAGTCCTCTCCCTTTAACTATAGTTAGCTTTATCTCAGCGATATGTGATGTTTCGGTAGTCACTGTTCTGTAGTGTGTGTGCATAGTGCTGCCATGTATTTATTTCTCTTTGTCCCTCTGAGCTTCGGCCTATGAATGTCTTCTTTTCCCTTGGATAAACGTGCCAGGCTCTAGATATTACCATTAGATTTTCTTTTAGCACTGCCGTCTAAAGAATCAGACTTTGCACCCTCTTGATCCTTTCCTTAAGTATCACTGTACATGTAGATGTTGTTATGTGAACATACTGTAGAAGTCTTGTATCCTTTGCTCATCCTTAGCTATCTTTTAGAAATCCTTTTAACAGTCACTCAAGGTAACCCGTTACATGTCTTCTGAAACATTTCTGCAAATCAAATTAGTTTTGAAGTGTTTTTATGTCAATTTAAATAAGAATGGGCTAGTCCTCACTGCCGAAAAGGACTAAATTGTAGTATCAGAAAAAACTTCTAGAAGACATTGTAAGGGAGTGCCTTTGGGGGACGAACCTACTCACAGAACTACAATGACAAACATCTAATGCTGCAGCCAACTGCAGTTGTGAATGTCCATCATCTCCTCTCCAGAAGTCTTGCACAGGTATCTCTTCAGTAGACGACTGCATCTCTTTTTCTTCGCTGTCTAACCGGTCATCTCTCTCTTTCTTCCCCCCCCTTTCTCTTTCCTTGTGTATTTTTTCTCTTGTTTTTCTTTTGTTTTGCTTCTCCAAGGGCATGATGACGCTGCTCCCTGTGCAGTTTTGAAAAGTGTGGATAGTTTTAGCTTTCTGCAGCACCCTGTGCATCAGAGAAGCTTAGAGATCCTGCAGAGATGCAAAGAGGAGAAGCACAGTAAGGCTGCCAATACAATAAAAACTCCTTCTTACTTTTTAATGTTGGACCATAACCTGGGAAACTGTAGGGACAAGGCTGACCAACATCATCGACTTTACTGCACCGTACTTGAGCAAAAGTCAAGAAAAAAGAGCTCAAAATAATATGAAAACTTTAAATTCAGGTCTTATTTTCTGCTTTGTGATTTGATTTGCAACTCTTATTTTCTTTAATTAGACTAGATGCTTGTTGGCCTCCGCTCCCTCTGTTTCCCTCTTCCCCCTCTCTCACTGTATGCACCTGCATGCATTTGTTCTTGTCTTGCATGTTGTTCTTGTTTAGCATGCTTCAACCGATCTGTCTCTTACACTGTGCTAGTAAAAGGCTAGCAGAGAAATTGTGAAGTTGCTTGTCCACCACAGCACACATCTGAAATCAACAGGCTTCACCTCTCACTAATACCACGTTCACTGGTGGTGGAAAGACTAAGGGGTCTAAAACACACACATTTTCTCACAGGTAGCTTTACATGTGGTGCAGGACACACACTTCTCTCACAGATCGCTTTTCCTGCACAATTTCATTTCATTACACCCACATGTGTTTGTGTGTTCTTGTTTTGGGCCACCCTGCAGCTCCTGATCAAAGTGAACACGGTATAATGTTCACACACCAGATAAAATATTTATTTTAGGTAGTTTAACATACACAGTAGATATCTGTTATCTCTTCACTATGATTGATTGCTTAGGCGTATCACCACCAAAACAAAGCCACAAAAAGCTTTTGAAAACCCATTTGGCTCACAATTTTACATTTTTAAATTCTCTTTAGTTCAACTGAAATGTCACCTGCCTGCTTTACATCATTAGATAGCTGACTACTTAACAACATGTGTGTTCAATATTGGTATTTTTAAATAACTTATGTGTTAAGCAAACAAACAATCCAGACCCAACTAGCTTCCATAGCATTTTACTATCTTTTAATATGAAATCATCTGCAGCATTTTTTATAAAAAGGCAAATAACACTCACTGGAATAACACTGGAGTGTCACATAGAGGTTATTTACATGGGAAGGGTTTAAGTGTCTTTATGTCTGTTGTGTTTGTGTGTAAGTGTTTGTGTTTGTGTGTAAGTCTTTCTTTGTGTGTGAGTGTGTGTTTTTGTGCTTTTTCACAAAATGCCAACCCGTTTGTTCGTGATCAGGTGTGACCAGAAAGAGTCCTCGAACCCCATTATCAGACCTTCAAGGAAGCAACACCATCAATGAGAACTCACCACGGTAAGATTCTGTTCTTTTTTCTTTTGTGTTTTGTGAACCAGATTAGGAGAAATTAGGAGAGAAAGGTTCCCAGTTGAACTCAAACCAGTGACGTTATGGTTCATATCTTCCCAGTCCTCACCCCCTTGGCCTCAAGTGATTCTTATAAGCATAATAAAGTATATGAAACCCTTTGATTCCCTTCAGCTGCACTAGCCTTCTTTAAATATTTTTGTATTATCAATAATGTAAGTATATCATCCTCTGGGCATTGAGACACACATGGCATGCCTTGAAAAAAAGGGAGTGATAACTGTGCTGTGACCCGAGCATTTCTCTCACACCTCCCCACTGGTAGACTACCTCCTCTAATTAGCTGTGGACAGTGGGATTAGCAGCCCGCGACAGCGCACCAGTGGTGGCACAGAGCGGCTGGTACAGACAGCTTTTGTTACACAGGAGCTCAGTCTGGGGCTGTTAACCCCCACACCTCCTTAATTTGATTTGCATCCTTTCCCCCCCTCTACATGTCTCTTTCTCACACTCGCACACCCATCCTCTACATAGGAGAGTACTAAACCCTTTGCAGCTGCTTCCTCGGTGATGTAAAGTCAGAGCTATGCATCTGAGAGGAGAGCCCAGAGAGCGATAAATATGAAGTCCCTGCAGAGTGCTTGTCTGCTGGACAGACAGCGGACAGTGCAATGCTTTATGGGACTCTTAAAAGAGACTATGGAGATAAACACTCACTACAAGAAGCATATTGTAGCATTACCGTATACTGAGACTGATGATCAACTGGGGAGTAATTCTAACAAATTTTCTTTATATGGAAGCCCAGATAGAAACTGAGGATTTGTCATTATTCCTTAGCTAACATCGTGACGTCAAACATTATTTTATGATGTGGTCATTCACAACAAGCCCTTAAATACTTGCAGAAGACTATATAAAGATGGAGTATAAATCCAAAAACCAATATACTAAATCCAACAACTTTTATTTACACTTACATATTTGAGCTTTGTGGATCTTCCGCTGTAATATGTAGTATTTTAAATGTAATGCAGGCTAGTAGTATAAATCATATAGATCTTTAAGACTCCTCTGGGACTCTTGGAAGAATTACCCCGGACTGTGATGAGTACAGTGGAGAAGTGTACAGCCTCCATAGAGAGAAAACTAATGAAGAAGCCAGTCACACATTTGTGCTGTGTTTTTATGTCTCCACAGACACCTGGTTTCTATTTGCAGCATGTCTACATTATGTATTTCAAATTCAAAACACAACATATTTGACCAAAGCATTATGCTTCTTGTGCACAGAAGAAGCTTGAAACATGAGCACAACGATCTGTGGTTTATTTCAACAGCAACACTGAAGAGGAACAAGCATAATCTATGTTTTTTAAAAGCATATTTTCATAATTCAGCTGTGTAAAATGGTTTCCAAATCAAACTGCTGTCCCTGCACTAAAAAGCTGTGGGTCTGTTTTTGTAGAGACTTTCAGTTTCATTAGCCATTAAGAACCTTCCCACTGGCTCGTGTGCCACCTTGTTTTCTCCGTGGGAATGATTCAACCCCCTGCTAATAACAGAGTAGAAGTTAACACATCTCGCTACTGTTGTCTATGTGTCATAGTTTGCGGCTTGCAACTCATCAGGAGGCATTCTTGTACACTCATAAATTATAATACTGGAATCAAAGTGCTTCAGTGGAGCTGAATTAATGATAGGTTGCTACTGCCACAACTACTGTACACTGGGAATTATGTCAATAATGGTGGATATTGTTGGTACCTCAGTTGCCTTTTCTGCTCCGTCCACTCCTGTGGGCTAAAACTGGTTAATGGTTTTAACCATGATCTGACCGCACATGTTTTTGTTTGCCTTATGGGAGGGTGGTTAGGTTTCACCTTGAGGCTGAGGTTTAAACCCTTTGAGGCTTCAGTAAACTTAGTTGAATCACTTGTGAGATGAAATACACAGAGGTTACTGCCCCTGCTGGAGAGATTTGTTCCTGCATGGAAAAATAATTCCCTCACAGAGACAAAAGACAAGACACTGTTGATGCTTTTTAAAATATGTCATAATAGAGGTGAGAAATGTATTATGACCCAGAGTACTAACTGTTTAGTTTAAGGTATAAAGGTTGAAAATAATTCATAAAAGAAATATATTTGTAATAAAAGTGTCCACAACCATATTTTTATTATCCTTGCATCTATCAAATCATACCTATCAAGAGTTTGCTTCAAAGGTGTCTTGTAAAAGTGACTATACATAATGTATTAAGTCAATTTTCATAAATGAATCACTTTAATTGATCTGTGTGTTATTGTTTTGTCTACAGGAGTTCTCCGGGCCTTGGCTGGAACGGGCGCGTCGGTCGACTCCGATGCCTTTCCTCCAGCAGCTCCACCACAGAAGAAGACGGCATCTTTGTCAACTCTGCCAGTAGCAAACTCCTTGAGAGAGCCCACGACATCCTCATGTCAGTAACTTCTTTCTGAATGAGACAGTACTTAATGTCGTTTTTTGTACTTTCTTTGTGATTGTGATATGCTAAAGAATTGTAGCATCACAGGGCTCGACATTATAAATGGCCCACTGGCCCGGAAGCACTATTTAGACACCCCGGGCCAGCATAACGTACTTTCCACTTAACCGCTCGGGCAAAAATATTGCTTGAAAAAAAAAAGATTGTCCTGTGGTATTGGTGTTTACTAGCAATTTTGTTAAATTGTTTAGTTTATTAATGCTACAACATAGCGTTTTGTGAGGCGGTTGTCGTTGTTGGGTGAAAAGCAAACAGCTGTTTGCTGCAGAGCGCAGTGCGAGCAGGCTCCTGTGTGGGAGCGCACTCGTTCCCTACAGACTTTCTCGCCACCTAACCATTCGCCAAAATGTTTTTAATACCAACGGTAACCGGCCAAGCGCTGGTCAAAAAACAATCTTCAAATAAAAGAAAGTCACCGGAGGAGTTAAAGGAGAGTGACAGGGAGCATGAGAAGAAGAGGGAGAGAAAGTTTCAGCCACACATGGCTTGATCGATGGAGTTGGCTTCTATATGATGCCAATATAAACAAGGTCTTTTGTTGGCTCTGTACATCAATGCCGACCTATGCTGAGTGACAAGTAAGTGAAGAGTAGAACATATAAAGGTATTGGTTATAGGGAAATGTCCCAGCAGTTTAGGATAATGAAGGTTCTAATCTAATCTATTACATAGCCATTACATTTCTAACTCCTAATGACAGGAAGGCAGAAAGCGCATTATACAAATAATAATACTCATAATAATAGCAGACATTTTTTAACAATGACCACAATATAATTATTTTAATAAACCAAATATGAACAATTGAGGAAAATGGGGAAGAACTGATCATTCAAATGTTGTAGTAATGTAGTTAGTGGATAAATGACTATTGCAACAAATGTGTTAATTTTCTTCATTATTTGTCGATTTTTTGGACGAATGCTCCGGGCCAGTGGTTACAATGGTGGGGCCAGTGATAATAACATTCCACTGGCCCTCAATTTTACCCTTAATGTCTACCCCTGCATCAGTGTTTCTACTGGTATGTACTGGTTATGATGATCAGCAGTTTGGCCTCGACACATACCTTTAAAAACTGAAAGACTTGAGTTCAAACTCAGTGTCAGAAAACATCTGTCCTGCCTTGTGTCCTTTAGTCATCTACATTCCTACCAGCTCCAAGGGTGCTGCTCTGCAGCTGACCCTGACCTCTGATCTCCCTCCGGAGGGAAGCAAGTGCGTGCAGATTTCCCCACAGGGATGAATAAAGTTGTATTGACAGGAATATGACCCACTTGAGAGGAATGTCTGGTGCTTTTACTTGACAGTTAAAACATATTCCCTTCTCACCTGTTGAAGAACACAAAGAGGCAAATGGTTGCTCTAATACTCAAAATAGATTTGACTCCTGAACTAACTTTTCTTTTCCTTGTTTTTTACTGAAAGGAGGAACAAAAACTACAAATCCAAGCCAGTTCTTCCCAAGGTACAGTCCAGATCATTTTTTTATGGATTCTAACAAAGTAATTAATGATCAACATGTTTAACTGACTATTCGTCACATCTGCAGCATTTACTGAACGTCAGGTCACTGAAGTACCTGAGCAACCTGACGCTTCACGACCGCATCACCAAGTCGCTGCTGCACCTCCACAAGAAGAAGAAACCACCCAGTATCAGCGCTCAGTTCCAGGTCAGACACACACACACACACACACACACACACACACACACACACACACACACACACACACACACACACACACACACACACACACACACACACACACAGCCAGTAGCACACTGCAATGCTCAATGATTCGCCATTCAGTGCTCTCACCATACAAATAACACGATTAGCCTGAGCTGCAGAGAGGATAAAAGCTGTGACTATGATGAAAACAAGGTGTGTCCTGTTCCAACTGGCTGTGGCTGAAAACATCCCTCCAATTCTCTGGCTCCCCCCCCAGCCCTCCGCTGTCTTATCCTTGTATTTGTGAATAATGTGTGTGAAGTCTATTGCCTCGTTTTCACACACATACACAAGTCTAATATGTATGATTTCATGTCTGGGAATTTAAGACAAAAAGCTAAATAAATGTCTCATGAAAAATACTTGGGGAGGATTTGTGAGGGAGTAACCACACTCTTTTGAAATGTGTTTCATTAGTGTTAAATTAACAGGAGTTGAGGATTAAGAAAACAAGAATGAACTAATCCCTACCATTTTAAACTGTTAAATGTAGATGCTCTACTCTTTGTTTTTGCATTTCACAGCAGGTTTTTCTTTTTTCATACACTCAAAAGTGAGATTAATGACACTGACAACTACTGTTAACATACAGAATGACTCGGTTGTCTTTAGGTCAAAAATATCTCTTGTATGCAGTCTGTAATACAAACCAGCTTAGAATAACACTCAACAACTGAAAACGGTTTATTTTTATCCTGATTTCTTTGAACATGAACTCTGTGTTCTGGCTGTTGGAGGTACAGTAGAGAGGAGTGCTGAGGCCCCAGTGTGTGGATGACTTCACTTCCCACATCCTGTGTTGCCCTGATTGCTTTAATCTCCCATGGAGGAGGAGGTGGAGGAAGAGGAGGAGACTGAATTCCTCCTGCCCCTGAATTATCACACACATGTGCATTTGTTTACACACATGCACATGGAAATATTACACATATGTTTCTTTCTTTTCCCTGTCAAAGACTTTAATCTTGCAGAAAAGTGTTTCTCTCACCAGCAGTTATTCACAGCTGACAGATCCACATGACTTTGGCTTCTTCCTGTCAAACAGCTGTGGATCAACACAAGCAATCCGCCTCTGCATGTGCCTTTATGTTCTGGCTTTGTTTAAAATCGGACTTGTTTTGTGTCTCTGTCTGCAGGTCTCCCTCAACAAGCTCATGGAGACTCTGGGTCAGTCTGAGCCTTATTTTGTCAAGTGCATCCGTTCCAATGCTGAGAAGGTACAGTGTGCTCACTCCAGACTGAAGCAGCTTGGTTTAGTTTTCAAAGCGTTTTTCATTTCCTTTTGAAGTTTGAACTTCTTGAAAGCTGTTTATCATTTCCCCCTCTGCTCCTCTGTAACCTCTGCCACCTGACACTTTTCCTTTTCTGTCATTTTCCCTTTCCTCTCCTCGATAACCTTTTTTTTTCTTTTTCTCAGCTGCCCTTGAGGTTTAATGATAACCTGGTGCTGAGGCAGCTGCGATACACAGGTATGCTGGAGACTGTGCGCATCCGCCAGTCGGGCTACAACATCAAGTACAGCTTCAAGGTAACACACACAGACATTCACACCATGTAGATACTCTTTAAATATCACAGTCTATATTTTGGAACTGTCACTTATATCATTTTCGATTAAGTAATGTACTTTTGACTATGAAAGATTAAGATATTGCAAATGGTTTATTAATATTGTGCTTTGTTAAATATAACTTCCCAACACAGAATCCAAAGTAGTTAAAAGACCACCTTGCTCTTAATCAGCTAATACATATATATATAATAAAAGATAATAAATAAGTTTATTATGAGAAAAAAGAAAAAGACAAAGAAATGTATAACAGAAGTAAGCAAAATAAAAGGCAGCTTGTTGTTCCCTTAATATCCAAATGTACACCGCTGCAGTTGCAAGGCAGATTTTTATTAAAAAAAGGTTTCTCCGAGCCCAGCATTAAAAACAAAAAAAATCAGAAATGACAGAGCTCCTCCAGAGTCACAGAAGACATCATCTAAAAGTTTACACTGGCTGAGTATACTAAACATGACCTTCACGGTATGTGTTAACATTATGCAATTCCCCTTTACATGGTTTTAGTTTCTTGAGTTACAACAGACCCTCTTCATTCTTTATCCAGCAATTCAAAGGATCATATCATCGAGGAAGCGAGACTCGATAAGCCAAATGGTAAAAGGAGTTCAGCAGCAGATTACATTCACGTGTCCCCTCGGTCGGTGCAGGCGTGTGCAAGCCACAACACTGATGCACTATCTCACTGCTCTCGCCCAAAATATGAAAACGACACTCAGGTTTCCTCAAGTTTTAGTGCCAGGGATTAATTCATCTCCGGGAAACATGTCACTGACGTTGTTTGAGCCGCAGATTATTGTGTTTTATGTTGAGAGGAAATGATTTGCGACATGAGGTGGCATAGATCTTAACCAGGCTGGCTCTCATAAGAATGATGTCAACTCTGTGAGGAATACTGTATGACTTATAAAGCAGATCATGTTTTAAAGCTGATTGGAAGTGAGTGTTGTTTGGACAGTACATTTTAGGGAGTGGCTCACTCCCACTCTAGTTTTCTCTTACGTTAGTTTCCATGTTGTGGCTTTGAATTTTCAATTGTGCCAATCCTGTGACGTCAAGATTTGTAGGGACTGGGACTGGGTTAATTTATTAAGAAGTCCCTTTAATAAATCAAAGCTTATTTCTTCCACGTAAAACTGAAGTCATTTAAAATTGTTCACTTACAGTAAGAGTCATTTTAACAACCTTGATTCCATCCAAAAAACTGTGCTAGTTACCAAGGTAATACAAGGTCTGTGAACTATTTTTGATCTTTACTACATTTCTGTGCAAATAATTAAACCTTTATCTTCAAAACATTATCTGATTATTGACAATCAAGAGTTAACAGAAAACCGTGTCATCTTGTAAAATGTAATGCATTATTTGAAATTAAATCAGTACTTTCCAACCTTTTTGACGTGTTAAAAGTGTCTAGTTGCGATGTCTTGTTCTGAGTTTTAAGCAATTCAAACAAAGAGACATTTGTCTTTTAAACTTTTCAGATGGTTTTATTGGAATATCTGTTCAATAGCCAAGGTAACAGATAAATATAAGGTAACATTTTACAATAAGATTTCAATGTTATGGAGATATGTGAACCAGAACGTTGTTTTCTTTGCTTTTTCCTTCCCCATTGATCATCTCCTCACCCCTAGGATTTATCATTTGACCTTTTTGAAGGGGTCAGACCCCTAAATTGGGAAACACTTTATTGAAATAGCAAGCTAGTAGAAACTAACAGCACCTTGACAAGCTACAGTAGTAAAACATTGCTTATAACTTACAGCCCATCGTACAAGTTTTTCCTTGTACGATGTGAGGGTCTAAGGACAGAGGGTGTCGTATTGTCATACTGATATTCTGTACAAACTGTGAAGTCCACTGAGACAAATGTAACATTTGTGATATTGGGCTATATAAATAAACATTGATTGATTGATCAGTCACAAGCCATTTAGAGTGTTTTCAATTACATAATATGATATTATACATTAAATGCATTTTATTTATATTTTTGCATTGTTGTACTTTTTCAACCACTGGAAAAATCGGCCCACTTAAATTCCAAACTAATAAAAAATGGATACAATATTAATTATTTCTGAAGACTTAACTTTTTGGTGAGCTCACTATGATGGTTTAGGTATCAGACATCTTCATTTATTAGAAATTCCCCCCAAACATATTTAGTGCTGCAGTCAGCACTAATGAGAAATATCTTGGGCATAGCATCACTTCGGCGGACTCTGCTGTTTCTCCACTCTTTAGGACAGAGGCTCTCCATTGTCCTCAGGTCTCTGAAACACACCCCATGATTGTAATTGTATAAACACAGCATCAGTTTCCCTAACCACCCCCTGCAGCCCTGAGTGTATTGAATTCAGACAATGGACCTCGGTCTGAAGAGTGGGCGTTCAGCATATTTACACCATGATGTTTGAACCCCTGCAAATATGGACAGCATGGACTTTTACCTGAAACCACATGTGCCTTAAAAGCTTTTTTTATTTTGCTCGAAGATGCTGCAGGAGGCCGCTTCAGTTTCTGCGGGGTGGTCAACTCTTTTATTTCAAATTGTGTTACCCCATCCAACAACTAATCCTGTACTGGAATCAGTTTTAGAAAAACAGATATTTTTGCAGATTATTCACTTTATTTGTGTTAGTTTGTTGAAATAATTTGCACATTACCTAAACATAACATTCAGAACAGAAATACTGTAGGGTAATGACCACATTTATTACTAACACATGTTCTTGTTTTGTTGGTAGGATTTTGTCCATCACTTCTGTGTGCTGCTCCCAGAGGGCACCAGTGCCACCAGAGAGGGAATCCAGCAGAGCCTGGACCAGCAGGACCTAGAACCAGATGGCTACCAAGTGGGAAAGACAATGGTATTTACTTACTTCTTTTTCTTTTTTGCACTTGTCTAAAAAAATTCAAACATACTACTGCCCTACTGTGAAAAAACACCTTAAATGTGTTTGTCATTATAAATGATTTTACACAGTGTAGCTATGTTTTGCTCTCAGAAGTTACGTTTATATTTCACACAGTCTGAGTTTGGAACAAGCTAATCTGAAAACATCAGACCAATACTGAAAGAAATGTTTTAGTTCTTCTACATCCGCAGGAAATAAACAGATAACTCAGGGTCCGGTTCAATCATTTAAATAATATATAGTCCAGTAAAATTGAACGGTAGAGCAAAACAGTGGTTTAGAGGTTACGTCATTGTTTGGTGACATTGGAGAAATAAATGTGTTGGCTCATTATATTGCATGTTGTTATGTGTTTTATGAAATGTTTTATTGCATGTTGAGGCAGTGAGGAAATTGAAAAATTCTGCTTGAATACCCAGAATTACTCAAAATAATGTGGGGGTTCAATTCCATACACTTTAAATAGTCATAGACAAAGGGAATGGTCAAAGTTGGAGACAACGTCCTTACCGAAGGCCTCTTCCCTCTGGAAAAAGGATATAATGAAGACCCATATTTGGTATGGTAGAGGTCCAAAGTATGAATGAGTCATGATGGAGCGGTCCATGCCTCTGAAATGCTGTTTATATAATTAGAGGATCATACCTGACATACTTGTGACTCTTTGTCAAGCCAGGGATGTCTGTGGTTTGTGTGGTTTTAAAGAGTTTGAGTATATTTCTTTGTGCGTAATCAGATAACCCCGTTCTTCATTAAATGTGTCACCCATAGACTGAGTGTATAAAGGTATCACCCTGTGTTGACTGCGTGCTGGTCCCTCCCCTCAGGTGTTTCTGCGGGAGGCTGAGCGTCAGCAGCTGCAAGCCCTGCTCCACACTGAAGTTCTCAGATGCATCGTCACGCTGCAGCGGAGATTCAGAGCCCGGCTGGAGAGGAAGCAGTTTGTCAGAATGAGAGCAGCAGCGATCTGCATCCAGGTACACTTCATCATCACCACTCTACATCAAACCCATTTGAATCTTTCTTTGTTATTTAAATGACTTCTTATTGTTTTTTGGTTTTCCTGAAAGTTTTTTTTTTTGTTTTTTTATATTATCCTTATCAACTTTCAGTGGAATTAAAATTAAAAAAGAACGACATTTTATCACAGTTTTGCAAAACTATATTGTACAAATTAAGAATCCAAGTTTATATAAATTGAGCACTAACAATTAAATTGTTTATTCATGATTCTTGTTTTGATGAGATTAAAACATATTGTTGGATCTAATCTAAAACTAAGAGACGTTTCATTTGTGTAAAAGTCAGATCTGAACAAAGTTGAAATCAAGGGAAAAAAGGAAATGTATATATTTTCAGTAAATATTTTATATTTCTATGCCTTCTGATTAAACTTAAAAAGACATCCTAGTATCAATAAAATAATAATAAATCATTGCCATCATCCCTTTACAGAAATGGTGGCATCTGTACCGGCCTATAGAAGAGGAGGAGGAGGAGGATTATGACCCTAGCGTCCAGGAGGGGGCAGCTCTGTGTCTGCAGACGAACTGGCGAGGTTACAGGGAGCGTCAGAGGTTCAGGCTGTGGAGGGAAGCAGCTGTGGTGCTGCAGAGGGCCTGGAGGTTATGGCTGTCCCGGCGCTGCACCGCCGCCCTGGTGATCCAGACGGCCTGGCGCTGTCATCAGGCCAGAGACGCCTATCTGCGTCTGTACGCAGCTGTGGAGCAGCTACAGGCGCTAAGCAGAGGCTTCCTCGCCAGGCAGAGGTAAACAACACCATAAAATAACTTAACCAGCGACTAAAATAACGTATCCAGAGATGGAAATAACTTGGAAAGAGTCAAATAACTTGGAGAGTAAAATAACTTCTCCAGAGAGTAGGACCAGTTATTTTCTTTTATACAAAAGTGAGTTATAGTTTACTTTTGTATAAGAGGAAAGACTACAGGTATACAGTATATGACACCTATATGCATGTATGTTGGATGTGTTTTTCCACTTTTCTGCAAACATTTTTTAATGGGAGCAAAATAACCCATACTCACAATATTTATACTTGATAACATTTTCCTCATGGTTGTCTCGAATATGCAAACGTTTAAAAAATGTATTTTCTTTAACTCTGAAAATACTTCTTAGGGTAGGTGACTGCATGATTTTCGCCCAAGCTTGTGAAAAGCCAGATAATCTTTGCACAGAGCTCCTGCAGTGTGTTTGGTCATTGTTCAATGCGCTTATAGATCAGGCTTCGTAAGAGCATGCCATTACGCAAGCAACCTCAAAGCAGCTCTACAATCAGCTGAGCTGCTTTGAGGCAGACCCTGAGTTTGTAGGTACAGTAGTAATAATTAGTTAACAATACGTTAATTGTGAAAAATAAAGTAGTTTGTAGTTCGTAGAAGTACATTGGCATTAGCTAGACTTGTAACCATGCCTTCTTGATTCACAGCTTCAGAAAACTGAGAGAGGAGAGGCTGAGGGAGAAGAAGGAGCAGCAGGAGAAGCTGCTTCAACTACAGAATGGCCAGGTGAGTCCCTCACAAGAGGAAGAGGAGGACTCCCCAGAGAGGATCACGGGTTTGGACCTCAGCACGTGGGAGGATCGCTCCTACGAGCAGCGAGAAAGGAGCCTGCAGGTCCTCAACAGCCATGAGGGCGCAGTGAAAGAGGAAGAAGAAGGACGAGAACATTCTGGGACCAGCGGGAGTCCCTCTAAAGTGCAAACTGAAGCACCGGACTCGATGCAGACCTCGACTGTGGTGGTGCGAGAGAGGTCCAGAACTATAGACGAGCCCAGCCAGAAAACCACTCGGGCCAAGAGGGAGAGCCGGCGGATGAGAGAGTTGGAGCAGGCCAAGTTCAGCCTTGAGCTCCTGAAGGTCCGGGCGACCAGCGGGGGGGCCTCGTCTCCCTCGGAGGAGCGACGCTGGTCCCTGGAACTGGTGCCTCCTGCGACCCCGCCTCTTCGCTCCCCGCAAGGCACGCCCGACAGCCAGAGCTCCAAAGGCAGCTTCGAGCTTCTCAGCATGGAGGACGAGCCACCCAAGGCTGTAGAAGAGATCACAGACAGCGAGGACCTCTGCTCCCCTGTTCTCCCAGTAGCTCCTGTACCTGAATTTAATATGGATATTGTTTCATCAAGCCGAATGCCAGTTGAACCCCACAGGACTGAGGTTTCTGATGCTGTTGTGCATCCAGGAAGCAAGACCAACATGGATCTACCTGCCCCCTCTGCTCCCACACATCCGCCCAAACTCAAGAACTACCTCCCTACCTTTTACGTCCCTGCTAGTGAGGGCAGCACAGTCGTGTCCCGTCGTCCTGCTGAAGAGCCCAAACCAAAAACAGAGGTTGTCTCCACCACCACTGTTACCAGGCCTTTTAAAGAGAGGCGGGAGTCATCGCGTCGACCAGTGGTGGTGGTTATCAGCATGCAGAAAGAAACCCCGATAAGCCAAGAGCTGAGTGATATTGTCCGTCCCCTTGTGGAGGTTCGAGATTCTGCAGCCCAGACGGGGGAAAAATCAGACCCCACCCCTGTCCCTCGAGCTGACCAGGCCATCATAGAGAAGCTAGTGCGACTGAACGAGGAGAAGGAGGTGAGGCAGCGGAATCAGCGGCAGCAGAATGAGAAGGAGATGATGGAGCAGATCAGGCAGCAGAAAGAAGCTCTGGAGCAGCAGCGTCTTTTCTTCGCTCAGTATGAGAGAGACATGTTTGAGAAACAGAGAGGGGAAGCTCTGCATAAGATCCAGCAGAGTCGACAGGGCGGAGCAGATGTTGGTGGAGATGCGACCTCAGTGAAGCCCATTAGACCCAGCTCCCTGCTGATCGAGAAGACAGCAGGGTTAGCTCCTAATGTCAGAACACGCTCAGTCTCCAGCGCCCCATCAGTGCCCTCTCACCCGGTTGTAAACCTGCAGAACATTGCCCCTCGCCCTCAGCTGCCCCCTCCACCTGCCTCTGTTTCCAGAGACAAACGCAGGGAGAACAGGCCTGTTGCTGAAGGGTGGGCACCTAAACTCACCCTGGAGTCTAAAGATGGAGGAGGAGGAACCAGAGCGAAGACTGCACTCAAGAAGCCTCCAATCAATCAAGGCGCTAAAGTTAATATGACGGACAAACCGAACATCTTCTTCTCTCCAAAGGACAAAGTGACCTTTACAAAGTGAGTCATGAAGTAAAGCATTGCACTTTCCTTGCTTGCACTTAGGATGTTTTTTCAGCTATCTAGTTATTTTCCAATCAGAATTCAAGATATTACACAAATGGTAAATGCCTTGGAATTTGTTACAAAATAAACAAAGTAAGAACAAAATGAATTAAGAACATTGGTAACTTGAAATAAATACCAATGAATTGCTAAGAGGAAGACCCAAAAGAAAAAAAACACACAAGCATGGCTAAAATAACCTTAAACAAGCAAATATACATAATACATTAACAAGGGGTTTATAAAACAAGTTTAACAAAACAGATTACTCCAAAAAACAGTTAATACATAGAAAGACTAAAACGGTTATGACAGTAAGTGAAGAATTTAGACAAACGCACTGTTGCATGCGCGGCCCTGCAATATAGATTTGACGCAGGGATACTGAGATATAGGAGCTGAAAATAACCCATAGATGCATTGTTAATAACATCCTCTTTTTATCCGCCAGGTTTGACCGTGATGCTGTCCCTAAAGTAGCACCTGCAGTGATTCCCGGAGAAGGACCCTCACCAGTCCCCAAGCCCTCCAAAGGAGCAAAAGTGCGAGATGTAAGCAACCTCTCTTGTTTTACTCTGTAGAAAACAAACAAATAACATGTGTTTGCAGGAGTGTCTTTTGTGTTGTGAATGAAGCTCTTAATCCGACACTAAAATGGACACAGGTGACCTTTATGAAGAACAAAATGCACTGAAGCTCTTCTGCAGGTTATTGAAGACCCCTTTTAAACATGCTGTTATCACTCCTGATGAAACTCCAGGTTGGCAGAGCAGGCCAAAAAAAGAAAGTCCGAATGGCACGGACCCGTTCCGACTTCCTCACCCGCGTCCCCATCGTCTCAGTTGGAGACGATTCAGACGAGGATGACACCCCCCGTCATCACTCTCTTCCCCTCTCCAATCCGAGCTCCCCGGAGGCGGGCTTAAGAGAGCCCTGTTTCAGTGACTCAGACATGGTAACAGGCGCACAACAAGCCCAGCAGTGACGCTGTATGCGTCCTTAAAGCTGACTCCTCTTTAACTTTTCTAACCCCCTCGTCAATATAAAGCTGTACTAACTACTTCTATTTCTAAAACTAACCTTTACCATAAGAGTGAAGACATTTCAAATGTATTTCAAAACTATTTCAAAGACATTTTGAAATAGTTTCATAATAAAACATAAAGACTTTGAAAAATGCGAGAAAATGCATGAATTTTATTTATGATACAAAAATAAATGTTGGTTTTTAAAGACATTTAGTCGAGGAGGTCAAACAAACAAAAATCCAATCGTTTATTGGTTTGACAACCCTTCCAGAACTCATTAACAACAGTGTTTGATTACATTTGAAATTAATTTGAATACATTTGAAGTGTTTTCTCGTCAAAACTAACCCTTTAAACATGTTTTCTTCTCCAACATGATGTGGCCTCTCTTTCTCTCACAGCTGCAACACTGACTTTTCCCCTTGATTTATTCTTTCCGTTTAATCAAGAATGTTTGCATGCCACTTGGTTATATTTCCTCTGTTAACAAGTAGCATCCGTCATAGGTCAGACCTTGGGAATCCTTGGAATAAGTCATCATTCACTCTTGACTTTCTTCATCACCTAACAAACTCTTCTTTTGTCTTTTAACAGCTCTTCTGCTGAGAACAAATTATTTGTTCCTGTGTCATAGGTTTCATTCATATGTTTACATATATTTCAAATGTAGTATTGATTTGCATTTTCATGATTACGATAAAAAGCATTTGCTTCAAATGCTACTAAAAAAGAGATCTGGTAAATGTTGAGTCTAGCTGGTGAAGCAGTGATGTGATGCTGCCATCTACTGGCTAAGACTGCTGCTTAGATTGTAATATACACATGAGGCTTTTCTTCAGTTTTGGTTCTACTTTGCTTCATTATCCAACCTGCTGTTGTTCCAGCCTGCCAGCTCTGAGGAGCAGAAGAAGAAACACAAAGCCATGTCGTCAGGAGATCTGGGCAAAGTGGACTCCCTGCGCAAAAACTCACAAGATGGAAGGTTTGTTCTTAAACAAAGCATTGATAGCATCCACAGTTTTGTGTCTTGAACTTAATGTAAATTGATAAGGATGTTTTCTTCCATATGTGAGTAAAGGTGTTTATATTATAATCTCAATTTGGAACAGGGTTCGTAGGATGCGCTTCTGGGGCAAGACAAAGTATGGGGAAAAGAAGACTTCCAGAGAAAAGCTGATCTGTGGTGGTGACTCTTTGGATGGAGACTATGGAGACACTGGGCCATTGCTGGGAGAGGGTGCGTTATTAAAAAGCAACTGCATATATTGCACATTGTCTTCTTTTATCCTGTCCTTATACATTTTAACTTCACCTGAAGGTTATTCTGACTCATAAATCCTCTTCCACACAGCAGGTCAGGAGAACATGTCGCCGCCCTGCAGTCCTGATATGATGTTAGATCGAGGGTTCAGAGACTTGAAGGAGAACAAGGAGCCGTCTCCCAAGGTGAAGCGGCGGCGCAGCGTTAAGATCAGCAGCGTGGCTCTGGAATCGACTCAGTGGCAGAACGACGCTCTGCAGATCCTCACCTGCACCAACGACTACAGGAGCATGAACGACTTCCTCATGAAGAAGGTGCAGACAAACATGCTCTGATTATATGATCTGCATGTGTACTTCAACATCTAAAATAAAAGAGTTACAGGCAGTCTATATTCATGCTGAGATGTTGTTATATTATAGATCAACGACTTGGATACAGAGGACAGTAAGAAGGACACCATGGTGGATGTTGTGTTTAAAAAGGCTTTGAAGGAATTCCGTTTGAATATCTTCAACTCTTACTCCACGGCTCTTGCAGTAAGTGTTGTCAACTCTTTAAACGTTATCTACATATCACTCTTGCATAAATAAATCACTCTTCGATAAGAAAAAAAGGGATCAAGAGCGCAAATATGTAATCAAATCACACTCCTTTTTACAAGGTAGCTTAAAAGAATATTAATTTGTACTACTCTACTACTCAAGTAGATCAATTCTGTGCGCTTCCCCTGAACCTGTTGTCTTCCTCCCCAGATGGACGATAATAAGAGCATCCGCTACAAAGACCTGTACGCTCTGTTTGAGCAGATCTTGGAGAAGACCATGCGACAGGAGCAGAGGGACTGGAGAGAGTCTCCTGTCACAGTGTGGGTCAACACCTTTAAAGTGTTCCTGGATGAGTTCATGACTGAGTACAAGCCTCTGGACAGCACAGTCAGCAGGGTAAAGACATGCAAATGCCTCCAGGAAAATAGTATCTAGCTGATGTTTGAAATACTAAAATACATTTCACACTCGATTTTATTTTCACTTTGGGTTTTTCTGTTTCTGTTTTGACTACAGCAGGTACCTAAACCTGAGCGTAAAAAGACGAGGAAGAAGGACACGGATATTGTAAGTCTAACTTCATTCTCATCAAATCTAAGTAAAAGAAAAATTGCACATTTGTTCTTTACTGTATGTAAAGGGACATGTGCAAGTGAACTCCAAATGAACGTGTGCTGCTCTCTGCAGGTGGAGGAGCATAACGGACACATCTTCAAGTCCACCCAGTACAGCATCCCCACATACTGTGAATACTGCTCATCACTCATCTGGATGATGGACCGTGCCTGTGTGTGCAAATGTAAGTATGCATGCAAAATATACCTTATCTTACCAGGAATACAGGACTCCATGAGAATCCCTTAATATCATACAGTAGTTCTAATTAAAAACGGGAAGGGTTATGTAACATATTTTAACTGGTGTCAATAGATGACTAGGTAGAGGTACATTTTCTCTATTAAATGTTGCCAAAGTAATAATTGCAATTTTTTTGACAGAAAACTAAGTAGTTAAATTATTTATCATTTCTGAGGAAAAATTCCCGATATTCTCTGTTCCAAGATTTCTAAATGTGAAGGTTTATTATGCTGCATTTGCATATATTTAGCTATTCATGTTACCTAAGCTCTTGAAACTCTTGATCGCTGTTGTTTTTACACTTTTCTGACAGTCTAATGTTAATATAATCAACAGATTTTACGAAAATTGCAACCTTAAAATATATATGATATTGAATTTGCAATATGTATTTATGTTTGCGCTCATTCTTGAAATGAACATGAGTGAAACAAATCTCTGACTTTCTCTTAAAAATGTATTTTGAAAAAGTTTTTGTCTTTGAATTCTATCAAACAAGCTCTTGGTGGGGGCCAAGTCCAAACAATTTAGTAATTGTAATTGATGTCACACATAGAATCACTCACAGACTCACTCACTCATACAGCCACATTATTCTGACTTATATAACTTTTCATGCCAAATCTTATAATCTTTTTCATCAATCTCTACCACACAGACATTCACTGAACTTGTTTACACAAACACACACACACACCAGTCTGGCCTCTGAGAGCCAGTCTCTCTCTCTCTCTCTCTCTCTCTCTCTCTATCTCTCTATCTATCTATCTATCTATCTATCTATCTATCTATCTATCTATCTATCTATCTATCTATCTATCTATCTATCTATCTCTCTCTCTCTCTCTCTCTCTCTCTCTCTCTCTCTCAATTCAATTCAAAAGCTTTATTAGCATGACCATATTTACATACAGTATTGCCAAAGCTATGTATAGTTGTAACATCTATACAAAAATACATACAAATAAACAAATGAACAGATGAACAGTTACAAACTTTTTTTACAAGGAATACAGATTCATTTCATTCATATAATACATGAGTACAAAATAGAATATGATGTACTATATACATAAGATGTGAGACCTGATGTATCTGCTCAGTCCGGTTCCCTCAGACTGTGGCAGGCAGAGACACAATGCAGCTCACAATGTGTTTTTAGTTTTTTAAATAATTGAGGATGCTTATGTTTGAGTTTTGGGAAGAATTGTTTCCGTACAGGTTCAAAAGTTGAGCATTGTGTGAGGAAGTGCTGCTCTGTCTCCACAGCAGTTCCTCCACACTCTATCTCTATCTCTATCTCTCTGTCCTCGGCCATAATCAGATTGTTTTCAACTGGACTCATGGGGTCTGCGGCGCCGTCTCTCCAGAGATTTCCCCACAGTTTGTCCTTTATTCCCACAGGATGTTTTCCTCACGCCAGCCAATGCTGCTTTGGTCTCTCAAGCGATAACATTTGTTTTCTTTTGTCCAAACTACTTTTGCTGAATTATGAGGAGGCACTGCCTTTCTGTGGATAATGGTAATGACCTGTTTGATTTCTCTGGTTGTGTTCATCCAGTGTGCCGGTACGCCTGCCACAGAAAGTGCTGCCAGAAGACGACCAACAAATGCAGCAAGAAGGTGAGTCGGCCATATTGTGCTCCCGCAAAACAATGTCCCATGACACTAATTGTTTTAATCCTGGTTTCTGAACAGTAGATAGTGTTATTTCTGAAATCAAATAATCTTGCAATGACGAAAGAGACAAAAAAGACAAAAGCAATTTTTTAGATATTACCATTTATTTGGTTCCTTTTCAAATATAAATATGTGTGGTTGTCTGCGTGTGTCTACATAGCATGTCTACATAGCATGTCTACATAGCATGTCTATGTGTTTAACAGATTATGTTGTGTTTGTGTCTGTTAACAGTTTGATCCAGAGCTTTCCTCCAGACAGTTCGGAGTGGAGGTGTCTCGTCTGACTAATGACGAGAGGACGGTGCCCCTGGTAGTGGAGAAGCTTATCAACTACATCGAGATGCATGGCCTCTACACTGAAGGAATATACAGAAAATCTGGCTCCACCAACAAAATCAGGGAACTCAAGCAGGGACTCGACACAGGTGAGAACGTTTGGCTGGCCATTAGAGGGGAGCTCAACTGTTTAATATATCACCATGACACTTTCCCGGCAAATTACTTACATTAATGCAATTATTTTATTGTGATTAAAGTTTTTGAAATTGTTATTCTTAAATATACAGAAAATGTGATGTTATTTAATATGCATTTGCACAAATTGCATCAGTATCAATAAAAAAACAAAACCTGAATTATAATGTCAAGTTAAAACACTGTTGGATAAAGCTAGGATAACAAATATGTCTACATTCTATTAACGTATTAGAACAAAACATTTTGGGGAATTTTGGATAACAGCCGTTTTTAAAAGAATTATAAAAAATCTATTTTAGCCATGTTTTTTTATAAAAAATGTTCTATATATTAGGCTATAATAATAATAATACTACATGGGATTTTTATAGCGCTTTTCCTAATGCTCAAAGATGCTTTACATAAAATAAAATGTATGGTTGATATATGGCTAAATATATCTGCCAAAATAGACCAAAATTGACTAGCATTTACTGTTTCGCCTTAAAGCTGAGAAACATGAAATGGATAGGAACAAATGTCATTACTAACTACTGATAAAGTGTTGGTTTGTTTTTTGTTCATTCTCCTTGTGACCACGCAGATGTAGACAGCATGAATCTGGACGAGTACAACATCCACGTCATCGCTAGTGTTTTCAAGCAGTGGCTGAGAGACCTGCCTAATCCTCTGATGACATTTGAGCTGTATGATGAGTTCATACGGACCATGGGTAAGTGATCGACGTCCAACTCCATTGTGTTTTGAAAGCCACCACACTGGAGATTCTGTCACAATTACAAGTTATGATTGTGAACAGCAGAAGATATATTTGTTTGCTGCAAAGGTTAATCATGATTTGTCTTGTGCCTCCAAAGTTTTGCAAGATAAAAAGGAATTGATCCGAGGAGTGTATTCAATTATTGACCAGCTAAGCAGAACTCATCTAAACACTCTGGAACGCCTCATATTTCATCTCGTCAGGTAAAAAACTGGTCTTATAGTAGGATTCATGCATTAAACTGCTTTATGGCCTCCCTGATGGCCTGTTATAATACTAAATTCATGCTTTTAGGGTCTCTTTACAAGAGGACACAAATCGGATGTCTGCTAACGCCTTGGCTATAGTTTTTGCTCCCTGCATCCTGCGCTGTCCTGACACCATCGATCCCATGCAGAGTGTCCAGGACATCGGCAAGACGACAGCGTAAGAATAAACCATCATGTCTATCAAATACCTTCCCTCGAATTGACCGAGACAGCAATTTACAAAGTTTGAAGCAGCAGTGGATCTTAAATGAATGTGTGTCATGTGGGAGCAATTAACAACATCTATTCAAGTCTATCAAGATCCAATTTAGCAAGATATATTCAGATGGCAGAAGTGCAATTTTGACAGATAATTGACGAATGATGATGCTCGACAAACAAACACTTTGAGACCAAAGTTAACTGAAGTGATTACCATTTTTCAGCATAACTGACATCATGATGATATTATTTAAACAAAATGGTTTTTAAATTGGATTGTGTTGCTGCTCAGTTCCTCGATAATGGTTGAGGAAATTCATGGGATTTCCTTTTTGTTTCCAACAATTTGAGAACTGCTGACCTGAGGCAAAATACAAGGCCTGCAGAGAGGCTATTGCTTCTCAATTACTTTAACACAACTACAATTTTCCATTCTTCTGAAGTGGTTTTCTTGCCCTCCATAGGTGTGTCGAACTTATCATTTGTGAACAGATGAATAAGTACAGAGTTCGACTAAAGGACATCAACAGCCTGGAGTTTGCAGAGAATAAGGCCAAGTGCAGACTGACCCACATTCGCCGATCGATGGTAAGATCGGATAATATGACAAATATTACTAATCAAACTTTTATAAGATTCGCAGTTACTCATGGCTATATCTTACTGACTGAACCATCCTAAACTCTCCTTCAGTGCTGTACATTTCCTGATTTCCTCCTTTTGTAAGATTTGTTTCTCCTCTCCTGATCCTCCTCCCTTAACGTGTCCTTTCCTTTACCCAGAAACCTGTACTAATAGCTGTTAGATTTATGAACATAATGCGCACTATGGTATGTATCCAGTCCCCAAGTCATCATCCAGTGGTTGTTGTGGTGCCAATCACTGCATAGTCTCATGGCTTGAAATATGAACATCTTAATGTCTTCTCCATCCCTTAAGCATGACTCATTATGTCTCTGCTTCTGTATTTTCTTGCATTGTCTTGTGGAATGAAGTCAGCAGATAATGCAATCATATAATCACTTCTTATTAGATTTACATCGGATTATGGAACACATAAATCAAACATTTTTCTACATAATGTATGACTTGAAATAATGTATGCAAATACTGCATAAAGAGCTTATTTAGATCTCTTTCTTTTTCATAACGAATCTAGAAGGATAAATTGGATACTGGATACATTGTGGACAGAAATGTCAAAATGAAATGTCATAGTTCATTTCCTGTGCAAGTACTTAATGATAGTTATATTGTGAGTATTAGCTTCACTTCAAAGAACCAAGAAGGATTCCTTCTGACAAATCCTGATCATCTGACCCTTAGCTAGAAAGGCAGCAAATCAGACCTTGATACTGCACATTGAAACCAGAATAACAATGACCTTTCAGAACCTCGCATTACTGATTCTTCTTTCTTTTGCTTTTCACATTTCTGAGCAGACAATTGCAGCTAAAAAGGTAAAGTGTGTATCACTGTGCTGCATCTACCTTGTTGTTTGATCATCTTCTAGTGCTGCTCTGCTGATTATTTCATTTGGTTTAGTCATTGCCTGTGCTTGTGAGTAGCTGCGTGCTAAAAGTTGTGAAGTGTGCTGTGTATGACTGCATAACTGTTATCATTCATTTATTTCTGAACCACAAATGTAATATTCACATTAGTGAGAAGACAACATCTGCCCTTGTTTTGTTTCTCAGGGAAAAGGCCATGTACAGCAAATAAGCTACCACACACCCTCGCCTCCAGTTAGTCCGCGGCTGCCATCAGTGGTGGACCCTGTGATAGAGGAGAGTGGCTGTGAAGAGGGAGAGGACTCTTTAACCGAAATCTCCGAGCATCAGCAGGCAGCCATGCAGCAGGAAGAGAGAGTGTTGACAGAGCAAATCGAAAGCCTGCAGAAAGAGAAGTAAACACAGCAAATGCACTTAAAATGTTCTGAAAATGTTGTAACTCCGGATAATGAGACCCTGTGAAGAGTCTGTCACAATACTAAAAACATTAAATATTTGAATTCAGTCAAATAAAATGTTAAATATGCATGTGTTAGAACTATTATGTATTTCACGATGTGTGTTCAGCTAATTTGTTAATCTGGATATATTTTCCTCTGCAGAGAGGAGTTGACTTTTGAGATGCTGTCTCTGGAGCCACGAGCCTCAGATGATGAGACCCTGGAGTCGGAGGCTTCTATCGGTACAGCCGACAGCTCGGAAAACCTCAATGTGGACTCTGAGGGAACCTTCTCGGATTTCTCTGGTATGGCACTATGCACAAAATCAAAATTCATTTTTCAGTTTACTATTTGTATGCTTCCGTGCATGCAACAGCAATGGCCAAATCAAAAAATCAATCATTTTATTTGAAATTGGCACCAACATCTTATTGGACTCAAGAATGAAATGATTCGATTTTGGTTGACTATGGTAAAAGTCACCTTGGCTTGATTAAACACATATTTGGCCTTTACTAAAGAATGAATACCCTAAAAATTATGAAAATGTCATACAAATAGGATACAATTATGGCCAGATCAGACATGGACGTAAACTGCAACTTGACTGGTCGGCTGAGGCATACAACTGTAAAGCCGTAATTCTAGTTTTTATGTGCAACTGGAGAAAAAATATTTTTCACATAAACGTTGTCTTTACATTTCGTTGCAGAGAAAGGTCCAGTGTTGACTTCCCCCTGGCCTCGGAGGTCTGACATGACGAGCCCCCGCCGGCGTGCTCTCCGCAGGCAGCCAGAGTCCCTGGACTCTGTTGACTCCAGTGTTTCCTCCTACTCTTCCTCATCACATTACCAACCATCGTCCTCGTCCTCTTCTGCCACCAGCCGGCGCTTTCGTTTCCACTCCAAGTCTCCCTCTGCAGGCTCAGGTCCAGCACAGGCTCAGGCTCTGAATACATCTCAAGCCTCTCGATCCGACTGCTTAGACATCAGCCCTACAGGAGATCAGGAAGGACATAGCGAAAGACCCCAGTTTACCAGCCGAGGCACATTCAACCCAGAGAGGGGCAAACAGAAACTTAGAGGGGCCAAGCCTTCTTCCCTGAGGCACTCCAGAGGAGGCAGTGGCCATAGCAGGGACCCTCCAGACATACCACAGCAGCTTGTGTTGTATGGCAGTAATGAATTCATGGTATGAAGGTCACTGCGACACCAAAGCACTCCCTTTCCAACTCCCTGGCAAGCGTTTACATTCTCAGTGGGAGGTAACGTAATGGCAACTGATTTCCAATCTTCAAAGCACTCTTGCTTCGCTTTTCCTGAAGTCCGCGATGAAGTGTCCTCAAGTGCAGTGTACAGTGTTTCCATGTTTGAACTGCCACCCATGCTCTCGCAGTGCCTTGGCAGCTCTTTACTTGGCGCCAAGAGGAGATGCACTGAGAAGGACCGAGAAAAGGGAACGTTGAATATGCAGGAGACCACTCGGCATCAGGGAATGTTACAGAGCTTGGAAAACGGAAGATAAATGAGAAGAAATCCGGCAACATCAGGCGTCACAGATGTTACAGTGAACTTAAAGCTCACAATAATTAGCTGCTTTATGAGTTTACATTTCATAACAATCAGTGTAAGCAGCAGTTGCTCTGTTACTACCAATTCATTTTCCTTATTTAATTAATTTTAATGTCACAGACATTCTTTATAGCATATAATATACAGGTAAAAATACTGTACAAAGCCGGAACACCAGCCTCTGCTGGGTAGTTGAAGTTAAATATTTATCTTTTTATTTTACATTTTTTTTTGAGTATCTTGGAAAGAGATGTACGGATTTGGGAAGAGGATGATTTGTGTGTGTGTGTGTTTGTGCGGCAGAGCGAGAAAGTATGATTGTATGTATGTGTGTGAAAGAGAAAATCACTTCATGTGTTTTGAGTTTGTGCTGCTTTTTTCCCCCTTACAAGGGAAATACCGCCATCAAAGGGACCAATCAGCTGGTGCGTATTCCAGCCAAAGGGGATCCCAGCTCTGTAAAGAATGTCGGCTGTGTATAAAATCCCTGCATTCACTGCTTAACAGCCATACAACAATTGTAATTGTACAGTACAGTTCATATGTACAGTATAGTGGACAAATGCCATTATATTCTTGAAACCTATTGTTTCCCATCCACTCCCAAACCCATCCCCACCCCCTGTCTCTAAAGTGTTTGCTCAATGGCAACCAAGAAAAAACATAAAATCAGTATGTCTCTTGTCTTTATTATTGAGAATGTTTATGTTTTCTATTCTGTCTATTTGCACTTTGCAGAACTGTAGATGACATATTTAAAAACACAGCAGACGTTATGTAGGTGAAGCTACATTCCATTATGAGGTAAATGGAATGTAGCCACAATTAATTATATTATTGATAAATGTGCTTTTCCTACTGTGACATATTAAAACATCTTCCGTAACAAGAGACACCAAAAGACCTAAAAGGGGTCATGTTCATTTTCAGGTTCATACTTTTGTTTTGTGTTTCCGCTACAGTAGAACATTTAAATGCTTTAATGTTCAAATATCACTTTATTTTTCCACTGTCTGACTTTTGGAATATTCCCCCTCTGTCTAAAACCCTCCGCTTTAACAACTGTCTATTTTAGCACCCCTCCCAAAAAAAGGCTAGTTTGCTCCACCCAAATGTACTGTATGTGGACAAGCACTGAAGAAGTGAGTTTTTCATGATATATCCCCTTCAACTTATCAAGGTAGTACCACAGCTTTGGGAGAAGTTTACTGGTTTGTTACAATGATACAAAAACAATGTTGTACAATTATTAATATAATATGATATAATTACACATTTTATTTGTATACCACACTTTTAAAACAACGTCTTCTCAAGGTGCTTCACAAGTCGGTGAGAAAAAAAGTGATCTAAGAAACATATTAAAGGTATAGGTGTGGGGACAGACAAGGATGTCTGCAAGTTGCATTGTTTAAGTCAGGGGTCCCCAAACTTTTTCCTGTGAGGGCCACATAACTTTTCCCTTCTCTGCCGGGTCAGTTTGTAACATAAAAGGTGTGACGATCGCATGGGTGTCTAAACGTAAACATTTATTGTTTTCTAGAAAGCCACACATAACCAAATATTAATAACCCTTTCCGGGATCTTCACAGAAAAAAAGTCAGGAAATAAATAATAACACTATTGTAACGTTCCCAAGATGAGTCGGAGACAGGCTTGTAGTTATTAGGCTTTAATAACTAGTATTTGAAGACAGATGATAACAGGTCAAGTACACTTCGTGGGTTCTACCGCACACTCCACTCATCTAACTTCTACACATACCCATATATATAGCACCGTCTACGTCACAACTCCCGCCCTTCCCCGTCCGCTCCACCAACCACAGGCCCGCACCTCAGCCACCATCACGGTGCAGCTCTATGATTGGCAGAGAGACGGGGGATGCCTAAGTGACACCCTGAGTAGCCTATCAGGATCGCTACACTACCCCCCCACTACAAAGTTCCTCGCCCACGAGGAACAAATAAAACTCAGCACAAACACTACCCCCACCCTCTCCAGTACTCTACAGGGACCAACCCACTGACTGTCCAGTTTTGGGCACCGGCCTTTCTTCCGTTGTGGGCTGTAGACCCAGACCAGCTCCCCGGCCCGGAAATGCTGCCCTCTTGTCCTGGTGTCATAGTTCCGCTTCTGTCCACCTCGTCCAGTCTCAGCTCCATCTCCTTCCGTTCGCCTCCGAGTCTGAACCTCACAGAGTCCAGGGTCTGCTCCACCTCTGCCTTCATCGAGGCCTCTCTGTGTTGGGCGTTCTGCTCCATGATACTCCTCTCCGCTATAGCTACGCTTGCCTGCTTCTGGGACTCATCCAGCTGAGGTTTACAGGTATCCAACTCTGCTTCTGTCCTTTGCAGGTCTTCTAGAGTTTTCAAAGTCTCCAGTTGGGATTGTCCTAGCTTATTCTGGAGCTCGTTGTAACCTTGCTGCAGCGCCTTAGCGTCTCTACCCATCTCGCTGATCCTCTCCTGGTACTTGATGCAATCCCTCCCTCAGCAGTAGTGCTGGGGGGGAAACGATTATTTTGAAAACGATTAATCGGGCGATTATTTGATCGATTAGTCGACTAATCTAACGATTATTTTTCTGTTGTTCAATTCATAAAAAACGTAATGTAAAAAAATATTTTTTCACGATACTGTGTCTCAGGGGATCTTAATATTTAAGAACCTATTAATGTGTTATACCAGATTAACGGAAATAATCTCAGCTAACTGACGATACAAACCATGTTTACCAAAACAAAACACAAGTCTCATAAGAAGCATCTAAATGACCCCTGAGCGAAAAATGCTAACGGACATTGGCACATAACTCAAGATAAAAGTACCCTTATTACTTATCGTAGCTGCACATACAAGATATCCGATTAAAGCTGAGACTCCACAGATTATGTAGGTATATAGTATCATCACTGAGTGATCCGGACTCGCGACAGGGGAAGCAAATACAGTCATCACAACACGTACCTTCACAGAGCTTCTAGGGAGATCGTCTCACCGCCGTAGCTGTCAATCTGATCAAAAGACGTGTTCAATGGCATTAAAATGAGAAAAAACGCGGCTGAATCGGTTAATCCATAGGTTTTTAACGTCTATGTATAAAAAAATGATTGAATTTATAATCCATAATTCCATTTTTATGTAAAAATCGGAGAGCAAATGCCAGCTGCTAATGGTAGCCACCACAGCTAGCTGCTGCTTCCGGTCTAGGCTATGCAGCAGTCTCAGTGAGATATAAATATATAAATATCTTTGCGTTTTGGACTAACTTTAAAATATTCCCATGCTTTTGAAGACCTAGGGCGAGATGTTTTCGTTTCGGGGCTTCGTGCGCAATCCTGTGAGGAGGAGTTGGTAGCCGTTTCAGTCTCCATTGTGTTTGAAGTGCGATTGCGAACTGCTTGTTGCTTTGGGTGACCCACGTGTGTGTAGCGACGCGTCGACGCGGAAATATGTCTCGACGATATTTTGAAGTCGATACGGCACTACTCAGCAGCTCCTCCTGCTTACCAGACTCTGCTTCTGCTCTCTCTCTGTGCTTGCCTCATGTCCTCCTCCAGCCTGGCGGCCCGGTCGCTCTCGCTCTGCGCCTCAGCCTCCAACTCGGCCCGCTCCCTCGCCAACCGCTCCACCTCCCGCTGCAGCTCGGCCAAGTGCTCCCGGTTGTCCGCCGCCTCCTGCTGGTAGTCTGCGATGCTGCCGTTGAGCTGGGACAGCTGGTTCGTCAGACGCTCCTCCAGGTTGTCCTTCTCGGCTTCCAGGCTCCTGAGCAGCTCTTTGAACTGCGCCTCCCTCTTGGCACCCTCCTCCACCAGGCTCCTTTCTCTCTCTTTGCCCTCTTGGAGGCACTTCTCCAGAGAGGCCACAAGGCTCTCCTTCTCTTTACTCTCCTGGAGATCTCGCTCAAGAGAGGTCAGCTCCGCTTTGAGTCTAGCCTCCTGTTGCTGCCGCAGTTCCCTCTCTGCATTGACAGCTGCTTCCATCTCCCTCATTTTCTCCTCTAATAAAACTTGAACACTTTCAGTCATTTCGGTAACCCATACAGGCTTCTCCTCCACTCTGCAGCTCCTCACAGCCGGTGGTACCGGCCTTCCGTTGCTCCTCGCCGCTACACTCCACACAATCTCTCTCTACAGCCATCTCCAAGGCCGCCTGCAAGGACTGTGGATGCTGCAGCTGTACCCCAACCCTCAAGTCCGCAGGGAGGAGAGCCCTGATGAATTAATCACGTGCCAGCTCACTCTGCACTCCGGGTGGCATGTGTGCATATGCCCGCCGCGTCAGGCTCTCCACGTCGTTAGCCAACGCACGCAGCGTCTCTCCAGACTTCCTACAGCGGTTACTGTTAGAGTTTTGAGGTTTTTACAACCCCACTCGGCTCCGCGTGTCGTTTTGACGAGTCCTGCTTAAAATCATAACAGGAAGGAAATCAGACAGAGAACACCCAGATACCAGTTTAAACAATCTGTTTTAATTATCAAAGGTAATAATGCAATGCAATATAATACATTACAATACAATATAATACAATATACTACAATTATATTGTAATGTTTAAGAAGTAGCCGGCCCACTTCTGCCCTGTTCGCGTGCTGCGGAGATCCTTCTGTCCTGACAGCATGTGAAGAGAGGCCGAACTCAGGAATCGACAGGAGATATACCAGAACAGAGAAGGAAGGGTTTAGGTCAGCTGGTCATCTTTTCAGGTCCTCTCATTGGCAGACGCAAAATATGCTTTGTCACAGTGACCCAGCGCTGGCCAGCAGAAAACCAAACAGGCCCATTTTACAACAAAACACATCTTATCACCCAAGTCATGTGTTTCTTTATGAAAGCCATACTTGTTGGAAATAAACAGTCATTATCCCATGACATCCTCAGAACTAGCTCACCAACAACGCCTAACTGTCTTCATACCCCCCAATTATCTCTGAACTTGTATTCACCCGAAGTCAGCTCACCCATAATCTAGAAGGACCATTGTCTCTCTTAACTGTGTGACTAAATTCTCAAGGCCTGCAGGATGCGCATAATTAACTTAGGACGAATTTAGCCACTATATCTAATGGTTAACCAAGAAAAACACTCAAAAGGGTAATCTTTTCACTCAAAACAGAACTCACAAGTAATTCTGCATTTTACCCCTCAAAAATAGCCTAAAGCACCCTTTTGATGAAAAGGGTAAAAGTGAAAGAAAAAGACTATTGCGCTAATCTACTTTAAAGAAAAAGGGAACATTGTTTCAGGAATCTATAAAAAAAACTCTATATTTAAGAGGAAACATGTATTTTGTTCCTTCAACTATTAATACACAGGAATGTATATACCCACACATATATTAGGGATAACATGATAAAATACACCTCTTATATATTGGTGAGATTAAAATGAATATACCAAAAATATGCTGCATCACATCTTCTGCATAATACTCTTCATAAACTTCCACAATTCCCCCTTTTTATCTCTTTCTCCAGAGATAAACTTTAAACAAGGCACTTGAAACATATACCCACTGTCATTCTTTTCTACTGTGTCCGTCCCCCAAACATTGTATAAATCCATCCGAAGCTGGTATTTAGAGTACTTGAAACCTTCATGGAGACAGAACACCACTTTCCATGGCAGTGAAGGAACCATGAGGGGGCAGCTGGGTGCTAGTGCAGTCTCCTTGTGTGGTGAATCATCAGCCCCCCCCCCCCTCAGAGGAATACGCCAACAAGGGGCAGCTGATAGGGAGGGGGAGATGCGGCTAGCCCTTCACGGGTGGAACTGATCAGAGAAGTAGACTCCTCTGCTGCCTCGACAAGTCCCCTGTGCCGTCCTGGCTTGTCGTGTCTTTGTCCCCCCGATCCGCTGACGGCAGTTTCTGGGCTGCCTGCTAGAGAGATGTCTTCCTCCTCCTCCGGGCCGCTGATGGCGGCTTCCGGGTCGATGCTGGAGAGATGTCTTCCCGATTCTCCTTCTCCGGCCCGCTGATGATGCCTCCCGGGTCGACTGCCTTGACGAGGGCCAGGTCTGTCCTGATGTCGTCTAGGGTCCTCGCAGGTGTTTTCCCGACCGCACACTGGCTCCAGTGGTACCAGTTGTCCCCCTTTCCTTCTAGGCGGACGGCATGGGAGGTCCTCTGGGTCACTCGGTCGGGGCCGGAGAGCCTGGGGTTGAGCCACTTTGTCCTGATGACTTTCAGCCAGACGAACTCTGCTGTGTCGGCCTCGTGCTTCTCGGGTCCCCCTTTTGGCACCAGCAACCTGTGTGGAGAAATCTGATACAACTCCCTCAAGCCTACGCTCAGCTGTTTTGACCCACTTGGAGCCTGTTGGTGGGGTGTCTTGAAACAACAGCCGTCTGTGAACAGGTTTTCTAAATTAATTGTAGACCTCCTATCTGCCAGTACAGCTTCAGAATCTTAGTACTTGGATTGTGCCAACTAAATAAGAACCCCAACATCTTTAGGTAAACTAAATAACATATTTCAATAGCTCTGAATTTCTGACAAGCATCTGTGTTTATTTTTAAATGAAATCCTTGAGATCCTATTTAAAATCCAAATATAATATGAACTGCTAATGTTTCTGGTAAAGAAACACATTAATGTTATGGATTCAAAAACAACCAAAATCACGATGCTAACAAAGTGAATGATTTCCTGGTGATACTGCTTCTACCTGTCAGTGCCTAGATATTATCACGCTGAAAAAATGAATACAGAATTCCAACAAACTGTCATCAAATGTCTTATAAATTGAGATGAAATGTATATCCTCATAATGACCTAAACAATAAAGTCTATGGCTTTTACTTCTTCACCAGGCTAGTTACATGATGTTGTCTAAATTAAATGATGTCTCATTACACTACTATGTTTTAGTTTTAACTGTAATATGTTCTTTCTACATTTCAAACCTCAGTTACTTTTATACCTGTTGAAACATTACTCACAGGTCAACTTCTTCAGTATTCCATTCTGGAAATCACATCTCTCACAGTAGCCCCTTGGCCACTTATTCTGCATCTGTGTTACCTGTTATAACTCAACCAATATTAGAAACATGTCAACATTCATCAAACAGTATCTTATCCCCAGATATGGAGCAGGTCAATTCTAAAACCGTCAATCAATGGTCAGATTGAACAATCGAGTTGGGGCAGCCGTACACTCCCCCTTTTTACACATGACTCATGTGTAACCAAAATCCTGTATGGGAAGAAAACCTTCAGGTAATAATGGATTATAAGAAAATATCAAACATTTTTACCCAAATGTACATCCATCATTTCCACAGTAAACACTCCAGTGAAATGAAGTGTTTCTCTCCATCCTTCAGTCCTAAAAGAAACAGAATCTTCATGTTTTAGTTTGAGTTCCACATTCTGCAAACTGCCACCTCCTGTGGGAGTGCACAAGTGAGGTTTTCCAATTCTGTGGAATGTTATTGAGGCCCAGAAAAATGTGTTAGTCCAAAAACATGCTTGATTAGTCATTGTTTTAAATCATGCAGTTGCACTGATCACATGCAGACATACACTCACATTCACACTCACACTGTCAGGTTGTAAAGTCAAGTTTGGTCAGGTTCACCCCAGAGTCAGTCATTCACAGTGCCTTGTCAAGTTACACTGTCGGTCAGGGTCAAAGGTCAGTTGGTCTCAGTCTTTTTTGGCCATGTGTCGTGCTCTGCAGAGACTTTGACATTTCAGCATAGGCCAGTATCCTTTGTCAACACAAATATGTATATATGGAGCGCCATCATTTATTAATTCACAATTACAACTATAATGTTCAAGATATCTCTAACTTTTCATTGAGACAGCTGCTTCCCACATTCCCCGAAAAGTGTTTAGCCAAAAAATGTCACTTCCTTATTGTACTACTACTGCAGTTTATCAACACCTAATCTATATTCAAATGTCTAATAGATCTATTTCAGAAACTTGTGCACATAATTATCATCTTGAGTCAAACCATTACTATGATCTGTAAAGCTCTGCTATGTATTTCATAACTCATATTCATTTATCTTCAAATCTGGTCCACTTAAAGAACAATGTTAACCTCTTTAACAGTGCGTGGAACCTTGGGTTTCCGAATATGTAACAATCACTCCTTCCTTTATCAAGGATTCTAAAAACAGAAGTCATTTCATCAATGGTTTGTAGCTAAATTTAGGAATTATCACTTATGGTAGGTATGTTTTTACTCTTTAACATCTCTAAATGTCAGTTAATTACTAACTGAATTAATGTCCATTAGGAGGTGGTGACGCTAGTCTTCCAAACTCATAATCTGGTGCCGTGCGCTTCCTGTGAAGCTGCATAAGATTTTAAAAACCACTGCAGGGTGGGTCGAGTGACCCCTCCTCCCTATTAGTCGTCAATAATATGCACCATTACAATGGGTGATTGAAGGCCTCACATTATGTCCAATTACAGCATCAGTCTTCTTTACTCTAAAATGACTTTTTAAATAGGAATATTTAGAAATGGAACAAATATTCAATCTTCAGAAAAGTTCTTAACCAAAGTCTATCTAGTGAATAGCCAACATATTTGAAAATGTCAGATGTATAAAAATAAGCCTAAATACTCCCTTACCATCAAAGTCCAAATCTAGACATAAGGTGAACAGTTTTGGTAATGGACAATTTAACCTAAAAACAAAACTAAATTGGACTTGTGTCCTTGTTATTTGTTCTTCAAAATACATTAGCAAATACCTTGTGAAGTATTCGCAACATAACCAACCCTCTCTAGGATATAAAATCCATTCATCTTTTTACTCATAGTTAGTTTATATGTCAAGATTATTAGGTGTGACCTAATAATCAGATGTGTTGTTTGCTAAACAAGGATATTAAACTTTAATCTTTTCAGTATTCCAGACCATCGTTTAAACAATCAGCCTCCCTTCTCAAACACTAAACCTATTGTTGTACACCACCCTCTGGAAAACTCTTGCACAGTTATGCTGTAAAATCATCGCATAATTTCTTCAGAGTCTGAACGATCTGAGACAAGCCCGGTCATAATGTGAACAGTCAGTGATGCGTTGTCTTCTGCAGCTGTAGTGAATTGGATCAATGAAACTCTTGTTTGGCACTGGGATGTCCTGAGGGGGAAGGA